TGGGCTGTGAAAGCGAATAGCCCGCTGTGCTGCATCATACGCTGTCTTCTGGGACGGGGTTTTGCACCGGTCTCCGGGTAGAGAACCCCGGAGGTCAAGCGTAAGAAGACGCCAAAAAGGCAGCCGTACAAAAAAATGAAGCAGCCGCCCTGAAAGCAAGAATTTTCGTCCCAACTTAATGCCAAGCATCAAAGGTGCTGCAGTCTTCAGAAGCCACCAAAGAGGGGGTGCCCAGCAGAGCTTGAGAGGGACTGAATGGCAGGGTCTGTGCCGCCCCCAAAAAGGCCCTTCCTTGTGTACCCATTTTTAATTCTTCCCACGGTGCCAGTGTTTGTTTGTTTATTTAGAGAGCTTCTATGCCGCCCCATTTGCCGAAGCCTCGGGGCGGCTCACAACAATAAATAATAACAATACAAAAACAATATAATTGGAGACATCCTGGCCAAAGATGCAAAATAAATAAATAAAATCAACAATTAAAATGACGCTTAAATAAAAAGGTCTTGGCCTGGCGCCGAAAAGCAAATAATGATGGTGCCAGGCGGACCTCTCTGGGGAGCGCGTTCCACAGGTGGGGCGCCACCACAGAGAAGGCCCTCCTTCGGGTACTCACCCTCCTAATATCCTTCACGGAGGGCTCCCGGAGAAGGGCCTCTGCCACCGATCTCAAGGGGCGGGAGGGCAAATATGGACGCAAGCGCTCCTTAGTGTTTGTTTATTTATTTAAAACATTTTTACGCCACCGCCATCGCAACGAAGCCTCGGGGCGGCTCACAACAGAAACAAAATACATAAATAATAACAATATAACAATAAAAAAAAATCCTAAGACTCCATCAGGCCTCCAAGAAGGGAGGCTGCCTGTCATTCGGGTATCTTTTGTGCTAGAATTTCACATCAGTGTGCAACTGAGCCCCAATTTTAAGTGGGCACAATGGCGGTTGCCCGCTGTTGGTCTGTGCCCAGCAAGAATAAAAACGAGTGTTCGTTTTACCGGATGATGCCAGACCGCTTCCTCTTCTGTGCTCACGTGTGTGACGATGGTGGAGGGTGTTACCCTTTCGGTCACACTTCCCTCTACGAGTTCCCGGGAGTTTTCGCTCGTGGCTCATTCTCACTTTCTTTAAACCTTCCCCGGCACCAAAGAGGGGAAGTGCAAATTCTCAGCCCTCTTCCTGGCCCAGAAGAAACCGCTGCCCCACCTCGTTTGTGGCAGAGGCACTGAGCGTCATCATCTGCCTGGCTGCCTCCTCGCAGTCCTACAGCTTCGGAAGGGCTGGACAGATGCTGGGTCACGTCCGCCTGCTAACAGCTCTTGAAAATCGCCAGATTGCTACCTGGAATACTCTTGTTTGCACCAGAAACCTCTTGCAGCCCGTGCGGGTGGCACCTGCCTGGGTTGTGCTGAGTGCATCACATGTCTTGCCGCGTGCCAGCCTGCAGCGCAAGGTGCTGAGCTGAAACATCCGTGCATTAGTTGTGTGTGGGGCTCGGTGAGTTGTGTACTCTTTCTTACATGGCAAAGCGCTCTCCGGGTGTGCAGCTTTAGCACGGTGGGGGGCTAGCATCTTTCCTGTAGCAGCATCGGTCTGTGTGTGTTGTGTATTATAGCAGGGGTGGGGAAACTGCGGTCCTTGGGGATTGTGGTCTGCAGTGCAAGGATGATTGGAGTTGTAGTCCAGTGAAGTTCAAAGAGGCACAGACGGCCCTCTCCCATATTTTGCAGCGTACGAGGATTGTTCCAGGTTGTAGGTGGCGCAGGATAAGACTCAGGCAAAGCTTACTGAGTGATCTGGGTCACTCACTGCCTCTCAGACTAACCTACCTTGCAGGGGTGTCCTGAGGATGAAGGAGGTGCACGTCCTGTGCCTTTGAGCTTTAGATTATCAAAGTCGAGGTAGACACTGCTGGGCTGGGGGTGGAAGCAGTGCTTTCCCCTTTCTGGCAGGAAGGCTGTCGCAGGAAGCAGACGTGGTGAGCAGTGGCATCTCCCATTCGATTCTGCCCTGATGTGCTAGTTGTTTACATGCAGGGAAGTTTTATTCAGACTTAACCGTTTAACTTCCCCTCCTCTCGTCCGCATCCTGAAGTGGCACGGCTTCCCTGAGCGAGCCGCTAAGCCTGTTTTGGGTGATCCCACAGCTCCTCTGTTGGCCTCAGGTTGAGGTCCAAAATGGTGCATATTTTTTTTTTTTTTTTTACAAAAATCATACCCTTGGTGTTTTCTGTATCGGTCTCAAGGGCCCCAGTCCACAGCCGCTGTGCCAGAGGATGGCGCCATTTGGGTTATGAAACATTTTCAGTTTTGCTTTCAGCCTGGCGCATTGTGTTGGTCTTAAACCGCTGTGTGTGGATCCTTCTCTCTGGACGCCCCAGTGCAGTGAGTGAGCAGTGCTTTGGACGTGGACTTGGCGGGTCCTTAACTGTGAGGACTCGCTCTGGCACTCTGTTCACAGTCCAGTGTCCTGCAGAGGGGTTCCCCCTCCAGCGTTTGGCAGCTTCAAGGGCATTGCTGGACCGTGAGCGGACAGGAAGGAAAAGGTGGCTTCGTAGTTTTGCAGCCGGGTGGTGGTGGGTGGACGTGGGAGGGAGGGGGGGTGTGCGTGATTGCCAAACCTAAAAATAGCATCACGGTGCTTTTGGCACTGAGAGCAGCCGGCCAGGAGGGTGGGACTGCAGGGGGAGGAAGAGCAGGGGCCAGCCTTGAAGGGCACATGGGAAGGGCTCTCAGCTTGTGCATGGAGAGGGCCCCTCCTCATTTTTCTGTCACTGTAGGAGGCTGCACGGAGAAGCAGGTGAGTATGGAGAAGTACCTTCTGCTCCGCTTTCCGCCCTTTGAAATAGGTTTGCTGTTCCTGTGATTTCTTTGACCCCTCATGTGCATCAGCCTTTGCAGCACAATCTCATGGAACACATAGGCCTCTGCCCGCAAGGAGCGTACAGTCGACAGGGCCTGTGTGGCCAGGAAGCGAGGCAGTGAGTGTGCCATTTTTTCAAAGCCTCGCTCTCCCCTGCAGGCAGAGTGGGTCGACCACTCGGAAAGCGCTGCCGGAAGGCAGTATATATGTTTCCGTTGCGAAAATAATTCACATGCTCCTTGATCTTAAAGAAAGAAGACGAACTGAGTTGTGTTGGCTGTAAGCACAATTAGTGCCCTGCTTTTATTGGACTGGCCTTTGAGACCTGCAGATCTCACGGGGCAAGGTGTTGGCTCAGAAAATCCCAGGGGCCCCACTTGGTCTCTTCCTCAACCAAGGAAGTGGGGTGGGGTGGGGTCCTTGTTTTTCCCTGTGCCACCCCAACTCCATTCTCAAGGGGACGAGTCATTCGTCATTCTCTGGGGTTCCTTTCTGGTGGCAGCCATGGGGTGGGGAATATTCTTGTTTTGTCTTGTCACTTTTGTCACTCCAGCTCTCCGCGGGGCTTTAGGGTGCAGAAGTGGAGTTAAAGAGCTGACACTTTAAATTTGGATTCTGGGCTACTCACAGGAAGCGTGTGAGTCAAGGGCGAGAACATGGTGTGGCTTCCACTTCTGATGGCAAGAGGCAGGACGCGTCAGAGCGTTCTCCCCGTTTGTCTTTTGCAAGCTTTTCATATTTTACGTTACTTAAGGCAGGAACCTCTCTGAGTTCTGGGGACTGTATTCCACTTTGGAGAAGCTTGGGGGGGGGGGCATTCCTGCAGTGGGCGGGGCCAGTGGCCAAAGGGGTGGGGCTAAACATGCTGACATATTTAAATAGCTTGATGCTCTTGCTGCCGATACTTAAACTTTAGGAGAAGTGTTTCGGCTTTTTTGAGTGGCACAAACTATGCCAAGATGGGAAACCATCTCACGATTGGGGGAAATGGATTGGGACCAGGAGGCATGGCTGCCTTCAGAACCCCCAAGGGCTGGATTGGGCCTCCAGGTGAACCAGGCTTGTCCCAAATTATGGGATCTGCCCTCTTAATTTAAGAGGTATATACACCACCCATTAGTAAAATTCCCAGGGTGGCTTACCAACATGAAGAACAAAATAAAACAACTTTAAAACATACCTCTGAAAAAGGTACGTGTAAAAGTATGCTCACCATGGCATAAAACCACAATCAATTCAGTGGATACGAATACATGCAGTTGAATTAAATGGCCTGAACATTTACATTTAAAACAAACTGAAGAGTCTACATGTTGAGTAGCCTGTTTCCTAGTACGAGCCCCTAGTCATGCCTGGGCTAGCCAGGGAACCTGGAAAATTGCCTCGAAAGGGGATTTTAATGGGACCGACACCTGAGGAAACTGACTTTCCTTCCAGGTATTGGATAAGTTGGTGCTATCTCCTTTCTCGGTTTAGCTTCGCTTCAGTTTTGCTCCTCACCCACTGTGCCGTTTCATTTTCATCCCCTTGGAAAACTCAGCCAGAATCAAACTCTCCCCAGCTCCCATCAGCCTTCCCCCAAGATTCAATTTAAAAGCTGCTCTTCTGCCTCTTTTACATTATGTGCCAAGAGTGGGTTTCATTTTGGTTAACGTGCAGCCTTCTTGTAGAGGCCTGGCTTGTCCCGAAATGTTTTCCAAGCCTAACAAATCTGAGCTTGTCTGCCTTCCTGTGCCACCATCTCCTGCGCACACCACGAGTCCTCGGCTGCACCTGTTGTTGTTGTTGTTGTTGTTGTTATTATTATTATTAGAACATTTCTATGCCGCCCCTTGCCAAAGCCTCGGGGCGGCTTACAACACAATAAAATACAATACAAAAATAACAATATAAAATTAAAATGAATAATATAAAATAAATAAAAGATATAAAAGAAGTTATAAAAGAAAAGAAGTAAAGAAAAGAAGTCGCCCTGGCCAGATAAATAAGTAAATATTGTTAACAATTAAAATGACGTTTAAATAAAAAGGTCTGTTGAGCTGGCCCTGTGCACAGAACAGGTAGCGCTTCAGGCAAAGCTACCTTGGAGGTCCTGGCTGCCAGTCTTCCACTGAACCACCCAAATTTGTTCCTGCTTTCCAGGACCTTGCAATGATATTTCCCCACGTCTTTCTATCAGCATGGCCACTGACTCCACCCTGGCACTATGGACTGAGTTATCTAGACGGTGTACGAGAGCAAACCTTTGCACCAGCTTGGCCCGTGGCCACCCAGCTGACCGTGGATTGTTTATCGAAGCTCCCACTGGGACCTACCACAAGATCGAAGCGTTTGCCCCTCAACCTCTCTTCTTTTGCAGGTCTGCAGCCCTGTTGCTCAACAGCCAGGAGTTCATTAACCAAGTACACACCTACAATTTTGGGCCAGTTGGCAAATAGTCATACAGGTAGCATTCAGTGAAATAGGCCTTTTTTCTTTATAACTTTTGCTTTGCTTTTAGTGTTTTGATTTTGGTTCTCTGACTGGGTTTGTTTACACAGAAATCTAAGTTGTTTACTATGTGAAGATGGAGATTTCATGTATAGCCATTTATTTATATCGACAGTTATTTATTTATAGTTACTTACCCTAAGGAAGGGAAGGGAACTGCCGTGCCAGCTTGCCCTCTTGCTAAACTCGCACGTGTGCTGGCACCTTAAGCGAGGAAAAGCCTTCGCTCATCTGGGCAGCTGGCAAACTGGGCCATAAATATTGGAATATCCACTGTTTGACTCTCACTGGTCTCCCAGCCCCCACTTTCCCATCTGCAGTATGGGAAACAATGATACTGCTCTACCTTGCAGGGTTATTGTAGGGGGGACCAAGATAATGAAGATTAAGCAATCTGAAGTGTTTTAAATGTGATATGACCATTAGGCAGTCCTGCTTATGCTTTAGGTATTCACACGTCCCAACAGGGTTAAAGCATTAAGATCATAACCACCTTCTCCTCGCCACCTTTCTGTGCACACCCTCCCTCACACACACACACACACACACACGATCAAGACACTCACTCTGCTGCCTTGCTCTCAATCTGTCCATCCCTGTCATATTTGCTCAGTAACCATAGCAACCTTGCAATTGGGTTTGCTCCTTTTAGGCTCCCTGGGGTGTGTCGTTCTGGAGCAGGGAGGGGTTCCTCCGTTTGTGTGAACGGGTCCATGCTGGACTTGCACCGGTCTCTACCCCACCGCCCCCCGCCCGTTCCCTCGGCTGGTGGTGCCCCCAGCTGCCCTGGGCGAGAGCGTCCTGTGCCCCGCTGTTGCAGGAGGACAGGTTCTCCGGGGTGGCATCGGGGCTGAGCCGCCCGGGGCTGCAGGTCCTTCTGGGGTGTCCTTCTGCACAGGTGAGCGATGTTACTCAACACCCCTCCCACACGCAAGGTGCATGGTGTGTGCAAGGGCAGTGCGACGGACCCAAATGCCAATTCCAAGGCTCTGATGCAGGAAGACAAAAAAATGCAAGAAGTTGCATGTGCTGATTCATACGTGCGCTCAAGTCTCTGTGTTTAGAGTACCTTGTTAGCCAAAGGCCCTGCAGGGACAGGGACGAGGAGGAAAAATTCTCCGGCAGAAAGATCCAAGACGGGGTGGCGGGGCAGCCGGAGGTGAAGCACGTGCGGGCCAAAAGCCAGCTCACATGGGGCCCCCCGAATGGCCGTTTCAGCCAATGCCTCCAGGCAGCAGGGTGGTGAAGCACAGCCCCAGCCTCTGAGTAAAAGTTTCGGGACTCCTGCCCTAGCGAGCAGGTATTTAAGGGCGCCACCGATGTGGCCCAGGGCTTTTTTTCTTGTTTTGACGAAGTAGAACAATGAAATCACAGGAAGTGGTCAGTCTTGTCTGTTCTTCCGGTGCTTAGACTGGGCCCCTGGATGCGTAACAGCAGAAGAAAGTGGTGGAATGAGACTGTACCACTTGGGAGGGGCAATACCACATTTGAGTACTCCCACATGGAAAACTAAGCCAAACCCAAGCCAAGTGGAAAAATAGTACATAGTGTACTATATAGTAGTAATACTTTACTCTCTCTCTCTCTATATATATATATATATAGTAGTGTATATAGTGTGTACATACACACTGTATATAGTATATGTAGAATAAAGTATACTATCAATAGTATATGTATATAGTATACGATATATATTATATGTCGTATAAGAGCCTTATTTTAGACAGGGCCCTTAGTTTATCCAACCTGCTTTCCATGCCAGGTCTCAGCCTTCTATCCTAAGAATGTATGTGCCTTTGAGCATGTGCAGAAAAATTTTTGTCCAGTTGCTCCCCCAGCCCTTCAGAGATTTGTGCAAAGAAGGCATGTGGGTCAAATGCTAGGCTTCATTTTTAGATTTCAAGAACTGCACCCGTAACCACTTCCTCTCTGAGCATCGCTTGCATGTTCCCAGCTCTTGGTGGGTCCTGCAATATCAGCAGAAACGTGATGACTGCCCCCACCCTGCCCCGCTATGGATGCTTCCTTCCCTTTTCACCGTCTACGGAGCTACAGAGTGTTGCACTTGGGGCTCTGTGCTGAGAACCAGGTGGCTTTTACATCCTGCCCTGAACGCAGAGAGCACCGTTTCCTGCCCTGCTGGGGGACCTCTGAGCTCTGTATTGATGCCTCTGCCCCTTTCAGTGACAGTCACACCCTGCGGTGCTTCCGCAAGGGCAGAAATGATGAACAGCTTTGTGGACAAAATGGTCAAACTTGGCTAGCCAGCACAGTGTTCCCCTTGTTTAGCCACTGCACTTGCAGCCAAAATTGGCGCGGGAGGAGCTCCGTTTGTACAAAGGAAGAATAAAGCAGGGTTGCGCAACCTCAGGTACAGGGGCCAAATTTTGGCTGTCCAGATTTCTGTTCTGCAAATGGGCATGCACCGTTTCTCTCTGTTTGGGAATTTCTTGGCTTTGGTGAAGGTTTTTCCAACTGCCTCTGCTAAGCATTTCTAACTACCATTCCAGCATTTAGGAACCCTCTGGCCGCTGCTTAACTACTGCCAGATTAATACAGTTTAAACAAAGTGTATGCTAACAATTGTTTTAGGTGTTCAGTTTTTATTTTGCCTTCCCAGTCACCAGCAATCCGAGGGATGTTTGGTCCATTTTTAAAAATGTTTATTAATAGCATGCCTGTCTTCTGGTAACAATACTGATGGCTCACGGGAGAGTTTGGCATAACATAAAAACAGTTCTTGGTGTTCGGCTTTTAGCCCTGACAGCTTAAACAGATCTGCTTCAAAGACCTAAGTTCCCCATGCAATTTTGAATGGTAATTTAGCTGATCGGTCCACACACCTGGGAAGGAGCACCTTCATTCTCAAATGTGTGCTTTGTGTGCGGGGAGTGGAGTGTGGAAATTACCTGATGGCTGATATAATTCTCTGTTCCATAAATCAGGGCTCATCCTCCCGGGACCCATGCACTCAGCCCATGACCACTTAGGGGCAGCAGTGGTGGCTTTCGCCATTCTGCTCTCCCACTGTGCCTTTTTGCTAGATGGTCTTCACACATCTAGCTGGAACATTTCAGAGAGGGAGGGCGGCTGGAGTGGCTTCGACACTCCTCATATCTAACTGCTCCAATTTTCTCTCCTCTGCCCCTTGCCCTCCCAGCAAAAAGCCCTTTCTTCCTTCTCCAAGGTTGCTTTCCCAGCCTCAGAGAGCAGCCAGTGCCCTTCTGTCTACAGCGCCTGCCAGTGAGGAGCAGAGTCTGATTCCCAGTTCCGAGGCAGAAGCTCAGCTTCCAGCCGTGGATCCAGGAACCCAGAAAGCCCCAGGACCCCTCAGCACCGTTAGGGCAGTGGTGGCGGACCTATGGCACGCGTGCCGCAGCGGGCATGCAGAGCCCTCTCTGTTGGCATGCGCCCCAGCATCGCCCCAGCAGCCAAGCATCGCATAACCGCGCATGCAGGGGCCATGCACAGACTCAGAAAGGAGTAGTGGCACCAGGCGATGGCATCATGAGCTGCGACTCATTAGCCGCAACTCGTCCGAGCTTTCGCATGGCCAGTCAGTGCGCTGCCAAGGATGGATGGATGGGTGGATATTTGCTTGGACTGGCTGCGATTTGTTTTTCCTAAACTAAAAACTCAGTTTTCAGGTTTTATTGTAGTGTTGGCACTTTGCAATGAATAAGTGGGTTTTGGGTAGCAGTTTGGGCACTCGGTCTCCAAAAGGTTCACCATCACTGGTCTAGGGGGTGATACAATCACACCTTCTGTTACTTTACTGCTGATTTTTTAAAATGAATCATACAAAGGAGACTTAAATGTATACTTTTCCGGTAGGTAAGATAAAATTTGAATCCTACTTTTAAGAAGATAGTTCTATACTCAAACTTAGGTAATTCCACCAAAGTTTATATTTTTTAAAGATGGCAGAGGAAAGCAGCTGAACGTCTGTGATTGTTGTTATTTTTTGCACTTTAATTGATAAGCCAAACCAAACACGTGTTTGACCTAGAATAATAACAAAGCTGTTCTTTACGCAAACAGTTCTATTAACCCAAACCAAAGGTCTTCAACTCAACATTGATTTCTTTGGTCATCTTGACGATGGCTTTGCTGTCCTGTGCTTTGGCCAGTTACCCAACATTTATTGGAAACTTGCTTGTGTCTTTTTGTGCCTTCCCTTTAATACCTTTACTCCTCTTTTGATGGCTCCATTTTAATTTTTATTTATTCTTTATTGGATTTTTAGTCCACCCTATTAGCCACATGGCTCCCTGGGTGGGTTACAGATTATAATTGTTTAATTGTTTATCATTAGGCATTGCTTATATAATAAGACATCCTAAATGGTTTTAAGAGAGGCTGGTTAGCAGTTTCTTAATGGCCTTTCAAGCAATTTTAATAAAGCAAAAGTCGCTATTTTCTTTAAAATAATAATAATAAATAAATCCTGGGCATCATGCTTATCACAGACCTGTGAGCTGTGAAAGATGTAAGATTTGGTGGGAAAGTAAGCAGCCAATAGAAACCTTGCCAAAACTATGTACGTGATTTTAGAGCTTCTAAATTAAGAGTGGTTAATCCAGTCCTAACCTGACTTCAGCTTGATTTTGTGCTTGTGGTCAAAGGGGAAGAAGGACTGAAATGTGAAATCCCAGGAAAACCAGATAGCACTTCTGAAATACTCAAAAGTCTGTCACATAGAAGAGGGCTGGGATCTCTTTTCAATCATTCCAGGGCGCAGGACAAAGAATAATGAGCTTACGGAGGAGGAAGCTAGATTCTGGCTAGAAATTTCCTGACTGTTAGAGCAAAGGACAGTGTGAGGTCCTGGGTTCTCCCACCCTGGAGGCATCCAAGATGGGGTCAGGGTGCCTTTAACTTGCAGTCCTGCAAGGAGTTAGACTCGATGACCTTACAGGCACCTTCCAACTCTCCTTCTCTATAATTATATCTTTAAAGAAAGGGCTTTTGAGCTTGTGGGAATTAAATTTTAGTATTCCACTTACCCCAATGAAAAGAGGTCCCTCCAAGAAACCACGATCTGCCCCATGATGAATAAGGGTGTTAGTTTCTCTCTCTCGTGGGAAGGGACTCTAGTTTAGCTTCAGCAGTAACAGAGCATGCCCTCAAATCAGCCCCTGAACCGCCCCATCCAGCTCCTCACAGACGGAAGGGGTGCAGGTGGTAAACATGCAGGTTCTGCCTAGATCTCTGCAGGAAAACCTCACAGGAAGAGAGAGTAACAAGTCCCTTTGCTCCATTTTTCGGAACTCAGCTGGTCTCGTTTGCACCACCCAAACTAATAGACACTTCAGTGCAGTTGTCCTTCCAATTTTGCACTTCCCTGAATTGCGTGTTGTAGTTTTTGGCTTACCACACTACAGCAGTGGATACATAAAATGTGTGTAACACAGTCTGATAAAAATGCAATCAAAACTAATATTTTAATGATAAAAGGGCATACAAAATGCATACAGATTTTCATGCAAATTCCCCCTCAACTGCCCCCTCCAGAGAATAGTTCAAAATCCTGAGAGAACAGACCTATAAAACTTATTTAAAAGTTTTGTATGCCATCACTACATGCCTTGGCATCTCAGGACAGCTCCCAATACATATAATTAAAACACAGTAAAATGATCTTTATAAATAACAAATTCAGTAAAAGACTACATAAAGACAGAAAACAGAAAACAAAGATAGCGACTGTTCAACGATAAAATATTAGTTTTTAAAATAGCAAATAAAAAGGTTTTAACCTGGCGCCGAAAAGAATATAAACTCGGCGCCAGGCACACCTCTCCGGGGAGCGCATTCCATAATCTGGGCACCACCGCAGAGAAGGCCCTGCTCCGGGTAGATGTTCTTTTGCCCTCCTTTAAAGAGGGTTCCTGGAGCAGAGCCAGATCTGAAGGGGCGTGAGGGCATGCGAGGGAAGATGATGGGAGAGGGAAGGAACCGTGTCTTTCCGTCTGTCATGGCAACGTGCTCTTGGGCGTTCTGTGTGGCGTTCCCAAGGCTACCATTGGCTGGGACCATGGTGGGCGGTGGTCCCACCAGCTCAGCCTGCGTCCTGATGTTCCCGCTTGCTGCTCCCTCCTGCCCCAGATGCCGTGAGCTGCCACCATGACGGAGGAGTGGGCTCCTCAGCTGGTGGACTACTTCGTGGTGGCTGGTCTGGCAGACACGTCGCGGCCCCTTGAGGATGAGAGCCAGGCCCCCCGGCCAGCCCGTCCCAGCGAGCCCATCGTGGATGTGGCCGTCATCGTCCGCTCCCTGGGCGAGGAAGTCCCTCATGGGTTCACCTGCATCGACCGCACCACGTCTGGGAACCCCGTGGAGCTCAACGCCGGCCTGCTCAATAACCCCCAGATGTTCATTTGCTACAAGCGGGGCCGGGAAAAGCCCCCCATTGTCGAGCTGGGGTAGGTGTGCCAGATGTCAGTGCCAGGGGAGGCTGGGGCTGGCTGTGGGCACCGGTTTACGTGAACCATTGGTAAGGTTGGACACCCCCAATCTAAGCTCATGGTCCGTCTGCCCTTCCCCTTGCTGCAAGGTCAAGGAGGAGGACATCTGCCTTGCGATCGGAGTAAAGAGGCAACTCTAAACTCTGATATCATGAGAGGGGGAGAAAACATACTTTTCCAGTCACGATTGATGGTTGCATTTCTGAGTCCCTGCAGGGCAGTTCTTCCCCTGCTCCCAGGATGACATTCCTGCTCTGCTTCCCCCCCCCCTGCCCCCCCAGGGTGCATTATGATGGGAAGGACCGCCCCAAGCCAGGCTTCAAAGTCCTCGACACAACCCCCTACAGCCATTCGGCCAACCTGGCGTCCGGAGGGCCTGGGCACCAGCGCACCTTCCTGACGTACCGGCGGGCCAGCGAGGGGCAGGCCTGCAGTACCCTGGGCATCACCGACATTTGCCTAATCATGCCGAGCAAAGGGGAGAGCACGCCCCACACCTTCTCCCGCGTGGACCGGAACCTCAATGCCGGCATGGTGAGTAGTGCATGAGGAGGAAGAGGAAGTTGTTGGGGAGAGATTCTGGGATTTCTAGAGTATTTTGAAATGGGAATTTCCCCCTGGTTTCTCTTTTCTGAATGAGTAAGAAGGCTGTTTTGCAGTGGATGCTTTTCTGTGTCAGGAAACTGTCCGGAGCCCTGGACTGGGGGACAGGGCCAATATTGCCCCAAAAGCTGAGGTCCACTTTGGGAGTTGTATTTCCCTGGTGGACGCGGCCCAGTTGGCCAGCATTTTTGGCTTAATGTTAGTTCTGCCGCCATGTAAGCTTTCGGGGATGCAAGTCACCCTTTTAGATGCCATCCTCTGCGTGTTTAGACAGGACATCGGCTTAGAACTCCCAGCATGCCCCAGCCAGCCAATGGCCCGGCTAGCTGGGAATGATGGGAGTGGCCCAACATTTCTGCAGGAGGCCAGGTTGAGGAAAACTGGAGCAAACCACAGGGCACAGTCTTAGTCGAGGGCAGATTCCTGTGGTCCTGGCACCACTGCCCAAGTTCGGGGCCCTCGCACTCCCCTGCGCCGCTTACCTTGCTCTCTTTCTTCCACAGTGGGGTCCAGCCCTCTTCATCTGCTACAAGATTGCACTGGCAAAAGGCAACACTCTGGTCTATGAGGCAGGTATGTTGTGCCCTGTCCGAGGGAGCGTGGACAACTCCCTGGGGCCTTGGGAATCATCGGTCCTCCATTCAGTGGTGTGTTCTTTTCTTGATGTGCATCTTTTTTTAAGGATTTTTGTATTTCGTCTAGGAACCTGCCCACCTTTTCTCTTTTTTTAAAGTCCGGGGCACAGGCCCATGGACTGATCCCCGCTGCTTGGCAGCACCTGCCCACAAAGGTTCCTGACACTCCTGTGCTGGGTTGGTCTGCAGCCCGTGTTGCGTTGCTTGTCCCCTGATTCCGCAGTCTGTGCCTTGGCCTCTGTGCTGGACTTGGAAGCTCCCGCGATTCCTATGCCCTGGGGGCCTGCAGCCAGCAGCCGGAGAGGCATGGTGGAGGGGATCTTTGCCTCCCTGTCCTCCGGTCACTAGATGGGGCTTTCCGCCATTTAATGAGAGGTGCTCCAGAGGTGTGAGGGAGCTGGCTGAAGGAAGCTCAGGATGAATTCTGTCCCAGCCTCGTTGGTTTCCTGCTCTCCCCGCCTCTACCGCGGTGCCTCCTTTTCATCCTCCCCAAGCTCAGGTATTTTTTCTCTTGGAGAGGCAGCCAGTGCCATTGCTTAGATGCCGCTCTCTGTGACTCTCCGCTCCAAGGTTGGAACCCCGTCTCCGGCCTTGGAAGGGTTTTCTGAGCCATGCTAAGGCCCCTTAGACATTCATCCGGAGACCATAGGGTGAAAAATAGCATCAGTGTGTTACGTTGGGCCTCTTACAAGCATCTGTGAGATGGAAGAATTCCATCCACAGCCTTGATATTATGAGGGCTGAGCAGAGTTCTGAAGGACAGGAAATTTTGGCGGCTATTCATGACGCATGACAGCAGCACATCGAGCAGAGTTTGGCCCAGTGCAGCCTCCTCCAGGCTGGACTACATCTTCCATCATCTCCAGCCAGGCTGCTATGGGCTTGTAGTCTTGGGGTCACCAGCATTTGGAAGCTGGCAAAGTCATCACAGATGCAGGCCTTTTTGCTGAAACAACCATAGAATGTGAATGGTGGTTGTACTTCCATTCTGCGAGGCAGTTCTATCCCTGGCGGCTTAGAAGTCGGTTCAGTTGAGGTCAGTGGAACTTACTCTGGGGTAAGGAAGTATGGGATTGTAGCCTTTAAAGATCAGATACGCTTACCAACAAAGTGTCCTGGACTGGCTTTAGGAGTCACAAACCCATAATGCTTGGGTTACAGACCCATAATGGGTTACAGACCCATAATGCTTGGGTTTGTAACAATGCAAGAGCCGCCTTGGGCCACGGTCTTGGGTGGTCCATGGCTTCTCTGTTCTGACGCTGCTTCCGTGGGAATGTTCCCCCCATTCCCAGGCCTCCTTAGCCGCTACCCGGAGGAGGACAATGAGGCGTTCCCCCTGCCCGAATCCGTTCCCGTTTTCTGCTTGCCGATGGGAGCCACCATTGAGAGCTGGCCTGCCGACACCAAGTACCAGCTTCCCGTCTTCTCCACCTTTGTGTTGACTGGTGCCTCAGGAGACAAGGTACCATGGGTTTTTTGGGTGGGGGGAGACGCCTTAGAAGCCTGGGTTAGGATCACAACAAAAGGCAAAGCCACAAAGGTGACTTTTGCGGAGGCAGCCCGGGTGCTGGCATCCCCTCTCGGTGCCAAATCAAACTTTTTGGGATGGGAAGACGGGACCACAGTATGGAACTGCACGATCTCGGGAATGCTCGTACATGTACGATATCCAGTCAGCAGGCTTGCAAACCGTGCTGTAAGCTTATTGCAGATATTATTCATAAGAGCAGCATCCATTTTACTGGGGTGGGTGTTAATATGAGGCGTTCATGGAACACAGCTCTATGCTCAGGATGATTTGTTACCAAGTTCCAAATTTATATGGTGATGGTGATGATAATGCATTTATATCTCAATTTTTCCCTCTCTTGTGAAGAACCCCGGGTTGGTTTACATAGCTCTCCTCCATTCCACTATTTATCCTCACAGCAACCCTGTGAGGTAGGTCAGGCCCAGAATAATGACTGGCCCAAAGCCACCCCCTGAGCTGCATGGCCAAGGGAAGACGCAAACCCCAATCTCCAGCCCAGCACTATAGCCACTATGCCACATTGTCTGCTTCAACCTCGTAGTAGCTCAACCAAAGAGAAGTTGGTTTCCACGAGGGCGTCTTGAAGAATTAACATTGCACCACAGCTAAGAAACTGAGCACTGAACAGGAAGATCCCTGTTCTAAATCTGCAAACCTCAGACATAATTGTGGTTTTGGGCAAGCCACTCTTTGGTACTCTCTGGGGCACCAAGATCACCTTGGCTACTCTGAAATATGGGAGAATTAAGCCTGGTCTCCTTCGCAGGGTGGTTGTGAGCATTGCTGAGACTTTATGAATGTGGGAATCTGATGTTCTGAATGTTCAGGGTTGTCGTCCTTGCCCACAAATATGTCCACAGGTTCTCCAGATTTCTTTTTATTATTACATCAGGTTATCTCCAGCCTTTAGTCCTTTTGCAAAGAAGCCCAGGCAGCTTATGTGATTCTCCTCCTCTACATTTTATTCTTGCAACAACCCTTGTGAAGTAGGTTAGGCTGGGTGTCAGTGACAGGTCCAGAATCACTCAGTGAAGAACTTGAACCCACATCAGCAAGCCCCACTCTAAACATGGCACCAGGCTGCCCCACAACGGTCCACAATATTCTAGGTCACAATATTTATTGTGGAAGCCCTGTCTGCGTCCCTTTTCCCCAAAACAAAGGCTTCTCTCTCTTTTCGCCACATAAAAGAAGCAGTGTTCTCCCAGTTTAGTGAAATTTCTCTGCCTTGTCGCCCATAGCCACTTACTGCTCGCTCCAGGGGAGTGGCTGTTCCACCGAGGCGCCTCTGATGCATGGACCCCGCTTCTCCCTTCCAGGTGTACGGTGCTGCCATCCAGTTCTACGAGCCCTTCCCACGGGAACGGCTCTCGGAGAGGCAGTGCGTGTGGCTGAACCTGCTCACGGTGGTTGACCGGCGGCCCATCACCAGCAAGTCAGTCCAGACCCGCAAGAGCATCTGTGTCTTGTCTCACTGGCCCTTCTTCGACGTCTTCCGCAAGTTCCTCACTTTTCTCTACCGCTACAGCATCTCAGGGCCGCACGTGCTGCCTCTTGAGGCGTAAGTCGGGGTGGGCGGGAGCCTGAACAGAGCAGGAATTCTGCTGCCAGACCGGGCCAAATATCCCTCTCCTCCGAGTAGCCGTTACCCCGCTTTTGCGCTGCCCCACCAATCCCCACAGGCAAACGTAGCTACTGGCAGAAAGAGCTTTAAGACTGGCTTCTGTGGCCTGGTTCACCTTTGCTGGAGTGTGGCCCCCAAGGGTTTCTCTAGAATGGAGCGGCCCTCGGGCTGGAAGAGGTTCAGCACCTCTGGTCTAATCCAGTCTGGTGCTTTCCCTAGTGGGGAAGCCCATTGGTTTCCTCTGCTGTTTTGCACCCTCACTGGATCTTCAGTGGACGGCCCTTCTTGGTCTTACAGGCAGCGGGGGTTGGGGGGACCGTTGCCATTTTGCTGCTGGACTTTGTTCTTCTTCCCTGTGACTTCTTTGTCACCCCTTCCAGGCACATCGCTCATTTCATGCACAATGTCCCCTTCCCATCTCCGCAGCGGCCTCGGATCCTGGTTCAGGTGAGCCTCTTGCCACCTTTGGTGTTTGTGTCCAGGGGTGTCCCACGCAGCATCCCTCCGTGCTGGCTGGAGACCAGCTTGCGCGAAAACTGTTCTAGGCTTAGGTAGCCAAGGTGCCGAGCCCTTCGTCCGCTTGAAAGGTCTTCGCTGTAAGCTTGGGGCCTTCCCTAGGTGGGAGGTTCCCTCATGTCGGATGGACAGAGACGTTGATTTCCTGTCGGTTTAGTATCATGTATTTGATCAATATTCTGATCAATACATGCCCCACTTCTGCATCGGTCTGAGCGTTGTTTAAAAAAGCATACACACAGAGGAAGACGCATTGTTTTAATCTCTCCTTCTGTACGGGTGCTTGCAAGCTGCTTTCCCTAGCATGCATATTTTCTGTATGCAACGCTTGAGCCAAGAACCGCGTTGCAAAATTTGGAGAGGTGCAGTGTTTGAAGGACAATGGAGTGCTGATCAAGCCTGGGAACAATGCATTACATCAGTTTGCTTCAAAATGCAGACCCAAGCTAAATTGTACTCCCCTGAAGTCCTTGTCATCGTTTCTCACTGCTTGCATGCCCCCCAAGCCTAAGTGGGGTAGGGGCACAGCTCCTGTCCCAGCCCAACCCCAATCACAATCCAAAATGTGCTCCTGTTCACAGTCAACTGCATTTTTGGGGCAAAAAAGCAGCCCAGGAGAGGGCGACTTGTGGCAGCAAACTGGCGGGGGGGGGGGCTATTCTGGATTAGGAGCACATTCTGGATGAGGATCATGGGGTCTTCCTCCCCACCCCCTCAAAAACAAAGCTACACTTTTAAAAAATGAAGTATAAGTTTGATTCTGATTTAAAACCCAAACCTGCATGGGTTCGTGGTACATCTTGAGTATCTCCCACAATGCAATTACATGGTACTTCAGCAAGCGCAAGCTGTTCTCTGAGCTTACCTAGCAACGAGCCAGGCTGAACTCAATGGGAATTACTTCGGCGTAAGCGTGCCTAGGATTCTGGGAGGCTGGATCACCGGTCCTTTGTCATCAGTGCTTGAGGAGAAATTAACCAGCAGAGCAGTGTTCCAGTTTTGCAGATGATCTTTGGGGCTGGTCTTTGTGGAGAACAATTCGGAAATCATTCCTAATTCCTGCCACTTTTTGCCTCCACCCCCAGATGTCTTCCTATGATAATCTGCTCCTGTGCCAGCCAGTCTCCTCTCCACTGCCGCTCAGGTATGCGGGATCTAGGATGGGATGGGATGATATTCGTGTATTGTCGCATTTCTGTACCTCCTCTCTGAAGCTGACCGATGCAGTTTACGACAATTTCAGAATCAGTATAACTAGAGTACCAAAAAACAGCAGATAAAGGGGGCAGTCCTCCACATGTTTACACAGAAAAAGGTCCCACAATTCCCAGCATGCCTCAGCCGGCCAGGTTGGCTTGGGGGATGGATGCTGGGAGTTGTAGGATCTTCAAATAAATCTCTAAGCATGTATAGGATTGCTGAGGGCCCATGGACCCACAGGGACCCACTGACAAAAGCCCCCTGGACTTTCTGCGGTTCAACCCCTTTGTGACCTGCTGGTTCATCTGCCCGACCTCAGTGGCAGTGAAACAAAAACAGAGCAAATCAGAAGGGGGCCTCCCGGGCCATCTAGTCTGACCCCCGACTCCAGCCGGCTCCACTCACGACATGCCCGCCACGTGCACGCCCAGCCTGTCCTTGAACACCCTCACCGACCGGAGATGCTGGAGCCGGTTTGCTCCTGGTGCTCCCCCTGCCAGGGGAGCAAGAGGTCGTCGTGATGGGGAAGTGGCAAGTGCCACTGGTGGAGAGACGGCAGACTTCTTGAAGGAGGGAGGCGTGGAGGGTGTCTTGCCCGAAGGCCTCCGATGCCTGGCACTAGCGTTAGGCGACCGAGTGAACCCCGCTTCCCTCTTGCAGCGGAGCAAGCTTCCTCACCCTGCTACAGACGCTGGGCCCCGAAAACGCCGTCGCCCTACTGGTGGCTGTGCTCACTGAGCAGAAACTGCTGATCCATTCCCTCCGGCAGGATGTCTTGACCAGCGTGGGCGAAGCCCTGGTCTCCGTGAGTTCGCGTTCCACGGGATGTGGGTGGCAGCGGACACGAAGCAGAGGGAAAACCAGGCGCGGGGAACTTCTGCCGCGCGCTTTGTGTTTTTGCTTCTGCCCTGTTTGCAGAGGCGGAGCACAGAGCCCCGGAAGGTGTAGGCCGCAGCGTGCAAAAATCATCAGAGGGTGACAACATTCCCCTGATGAGGAAAGGCTACAGCGGGGGTTTGGGCAGGGCGGGGGTTAACTTGGAAAGCAGGCAACTGAGAGGATACTGAATAGAGGCGGATAAAATTAAGCCTGGCATGGAGGAATGGCACAAAGAGATGTTTGTTCCATGCTCCTCAGCATGAAGCGATCAAATGGACTGGTGGGTGGAGGGGGGTGAGCCGTCCTCACGGCATGCGGTCTTTGCGGGGGGCGAAGTTCTAAGGCTGAAGTCCTTCCATGGGCCTTGGGCTCCCCCCCCAGCCACACGGCCTGTTTCCGGCCTTGGCGCCTTCTTTCCCCACCTTCCGAAACGTGAAAAGGCCTCTCCTGCAGATGATCTTCCCGCTGCACTGGCAGTGCCCGTACATCCCGCTGTGCCCGCTCACCCTGGCCGACGTGCTGTATGCCCCCGTGCCCTTCATCGTGGGGATCCACTCCAGCTACTTCGACCTGCACGACCCGCCGCACGATGTCCTCTGCGTCGATCTGGACACCAACACCATCTTCCAGTGAGTGCCGCCTGCAGGTGGGCACATGCGCCGGGCTGCCCCCCTGCTGCTGCTGCAGGGATCCTGCCCCTCGGCGTGCAGCATGGGGCTCAGTTCGGTGGGAGGGCAGATGCTTTGTGCGCAGAAAAACTCGGGCTTTGGCAAGTTCGGTTTCAATGGTCTGAGATACCCAAAGCCCTTGCCGAGAGCTGTGGTCAGTCCAAAGAGGCTGTTTCGGCCTGGGAAGGAGAAGGGCTTCTCTCCAGGTGCGCTCCTGCCCAGCCCAAGCACCAATGATAAACAGAGCCATGCATTCGCTGCCATCCTGGGTAGGCAACCAAGAGCAGAGCTGGGGAACCTGGCACGTTCCAGATGCCGTTGGATCCCGGCTTCCATCACCCTTGACCACCAGCCATGCTGGCTGGGGCTGATGGGGGAATTCTAGGCTGCAACAGCTTCTGGTCGCAGAATTGCGGAAGAACTGTGAGAGGGGCAAGGCTGCCTGGCGTGGTCGCTGGCTCAGGTTGCGTGTTGTCCCTGGCAATTTGGAAAGGACGCCGTCCCTGTTGAGGCCCCACCAGGGAGGCTGTTCCAGGACAGGCTGGACGTGCACATGGCAGGCATGTCGTGAGCGGAGCTGGCTGGAGCCGGGGGTCAAACCAGAGGGCCCAGGAGGCCCCTTCGGACTCGCGCTGTTTCTGTTTCCTAGCCCTTCTGGGGAATGCATGTATTCGAAGTGCCATGCTCCAGTATGGAGGTTGCAGAGGGGTGAACAGTAAACGATGGCATACGTAAATGAACCAGGCTGTCTGTTAAGAACAAAGCTGTGCCTGGTGAGCTCGGGAAGGGTTCTGAAGGAGCGGCTGGGGCTGAACCAGGGCCTCCTGCCTGGAGTGTCTGTGCTCTGCTGTTGACGGTGACCTCTCACCAAAGACGTGGCTTGATGGTGCAGGACTTTGGCTTGGGATTAGTCCGCTCCTTGGGCATCTCCTGCATGCCCTTCCTTGGCTTGGGTGCAAGCCCCACCAAGCCGAGCGGACGTCTTCCTCCCCCGGTCCACCGGACGAGGCTGCGAGGCCCTTCCTGCCCCCTTGGTCTGCAGCAGGTCCCTCCCCTCGCAGCTCCGCCTGGGAAATGGGGGCTTTGCAAGCAGGGGGCGGGTGGGGCGCTGTGGCCGCAGGGTGTCCCGAAAGGAGGCACTAACCGAACGGGCAGCTTTGCTCTGTGCACAGGCGCGAGGAGCGGAAGCTGCTGCCACCGCGGTCCCTGCCCCGGAAACCGTGCAAGGTGCTGCTGGCTTCGCTGAACTCCCAGTACAACCAGCTGGACGAGAGTGAGTAACGGGCTAGCACGCGCTTGCACGGGAGGGGCTGGCGGCGTCTCGTGGGTTAACAGCAAGCCCTCCTTCCCCAAGCTGGTGCCCTTCAGGGGCTTTGTTCCCAGCCAGCTGGCACCCAAAACATTGGATAAACCACAGCTTAAAGTCACCTCTGCTCAAGGCTAACAGAAACCGGCTGCTTATGGGGACGTGCTGCTTGCTGCATCCATAGCTGGGTGGCAAAGCGGTGAGGTTGCGTGTCAGCAGCCCCAGCGTTCACTTCCTGGGCGCTCCTGCTCAAAGGCCCCAGCGGGAGATGTGGTGGGCGAGACCCTTCTTTGCCCGAGGTCTCTGGAGAGCTGCTGCCTGCGTGAGTGAATGTCACGAGCTTGATGGACAGCCAGTTTCTCGGCCGCCCCTGATGCTTGTCCTCCCTCCACCCTTCCGGCCGCAGTGTACAACCGCCCGGTCGAGGAAGCGACGCTGGAGTTCCTGCTGACCGATTACGACGTCATTTACGGCCGACGGAAGCAGCTGGAGCTGGACATCCAGGGGGCTTTCCTGCGCTTCATGACCTGCCTCTTGAAGGGCTATCGCGCCTACCTTCTGCCCATCACTCAGGCACCGTCCGAGAAGACCAGAGACTCCAGCAGCCTCTTCTCCCTCCAGGGTGATTCCAGGGGCCGGGGGCAGCCCCAGGGGCTGCGGGTTCCAGGGCTGTGGAGAAGGAGGGGAGGCCCACCAAGATGGTCCCAGTTACCTGCGTTGAAGACACCATAGAGCAATGCGATGGGCCGGATGCCGAAAGGATGGGAGCCTCCACGACTGGAGAGACCCCTTTCCACCCCCTGCCCTCTTCCACATTTTTTAAAAGAAATACTCGTATTTCAGAAGATCCCTTATTAAAAGCCAGGCCTTCAAGCTGGGGTAGCCGTTTACTCGATCGGAAATGTATCAGTAGGCTCTCCTGCTGGCGCCTTTCTTTCCCGGTGCTCCTGTAACTGGGCGTTCTGGCCTCACGCAGGGTTCCTGAAGTCGCGAGACCGGCCCTACCACAAGTTCTACATACAGCTCCTGCGCACCCAGCTCTTCACGCAGTTCATCGAAGAATGCTCCTTCGTCAGCGACCGGCACACTTCCCTGGAGTTTTTCGATTCCTGCGTCGAGAAGGTATTGCTGTGCGTACAGGCCGAGCTGGGACTTGGGAAGCGGCTGCCTCCCGCAGTTGGGTGCCTCCTCTGGATGTTTCGGACTACAACTCCCATCCCTTCTTGTGAGGTCGATTTCACACACATGCATAGACGCATCCCTCCAGATCCCAGGTTGCTGCTGCTGCCTTGTCCCCTGTGGAGCAGGGCCAAAGTTTTCCAGCCGTTTGGCAGGAGAATGGATGCAGGCCAAGCGGTGTGGCCCTCCCTCGATCTCTCTCTCTCCCTTTCCCTGCGCATCTACTCAGGTGCAGGTAGATCTGGAGAAGCCGGAGGAATTTCCCCTGATCGAACTGGACGACACGCACGGCAGCGAGCACACCGTCTTTATCATGCCCCCCGAGGAGCCCACTGGCCCGAACGGCACGGAGCTCCCGCCATGCTACAAGTGAGTATCCCTGCAAGCACTTGTGATGCACAAACTCACCAGCGCCCTTCCGAGCCCTGCCCTGTGCTTTTGTTTGTTTGCTGGCTGCTTTTTAAACAATCCCGTCCAGCCTTTGCAGCCATGTGCTCTCTCGCTTCCTCCCTCCCTCCTCCATTTTATCCTTCATGCACCCCTGTGCCTGTAAGGGGTCTGCATTCTGCATCCCCTGATTGTACATTTCACTCAGGAGCCAGTGCAGTGGGGTTGTTAGATCAGGGGATGCCGGATGAGGCAAGACTGAGGGAACTGGGTCTCTTCAGCCTGGAGACTCAGAGGGGATCTGTTGGCGACATACAGGTATGTGAGGGGGTGTCACACGGAGGTGGGGAGAGACCTGTTCTCCCCTGCAGAGGAAGGCAGGACACGTCCCAACGGAGCAAAGCTCAGGGAGCCAAGGTTCCATTTGGATGCCAGGAAGCACTTCCTGACAGTCAGGACCCCGAGGGCGTGGAATGGGCTTCCACGGGAGGTTGTTGAGGCCTCATTGGTGAGGGTGTTCAAGGATAGGCTGGACATGCACATGGTGGGTATGTCATGAGTGAAGCCGGCTGGAGCTGGGGGTCAGACTAGATGGCCCGGGAGGTCCCTTCTGACTCGCTCTGTTTCTTTGTTTTTATATTAGATTACCAGATGAGAAGCAGGGTTCACATCCTTCCTCAGCCCCAAACCTCACTTGAGTGAACATGAGTTGGGCACCCTGATCTACCACACTGGGTGGCTTTTGTAATGAATTGACTGACTTATAATCTACATATTTATTTATACACATATTTATAGGCTGCCTATAACTGCCAAGGCCTTCCTCAGTGCCTTACAATATACAGGTTACCTTTCAGCTCTGGTCACGCTCCCAGGAAAACTTAAAGCTTGCAGCAGTCTTAAAGCTTCTAAACTCCTGAAAACTGTCTGCCTCTCAGTTTGTGATTTGGGGGTGCTGGGGGGGGCCACATGCCCCCATCTTCCTCAGTCTATTGCCTTCCTGATGAATCCCATCAGTCTGCCATCAGCGGAGCTGGCCCTCCAGCGAAGGGTCAGAAGTGCTAGCTTTAGTCCAAGTTTCTGGAAGGACGAGCTTGGGGAAGGCAGAGGGAACACAGCCTTGGAGAAAGAGGATGTCTCGAGAGCTAAGCAGGAAACGTACAGGCTGAATTCTCAAGAGGGAGAGAAGAGAGACTAGGACAAGCGTTTTAACTGAGAGGCAGTCTGGTGCAGTGTGTAGACTGGTGGATTTGGACCCAAGAGCTCTGAAGCCTAGTTCTGCTTGGCCAAGAAGCTCGCAGGGTGACTTTGGCCCAGTCTTTGATTCACAGCCTAGCCTACTTCACAGGGTTGTTGTGAGGATAAGACAAGACTATGTAAGCTGTCTTGGGCTCTTTAAAGGAAGAGGCAGAACAGGAATGTAAAAAATACGTTAACACTTTCCCTAATTGTGCCCTCGGGACCCCACATGCACTTTCTTTACTTAAGCTCCGCTTCTCTCTCACCACCTCCAGGTATGACGGTTTCCCTCAGCTCCAGGCCAAACTTTTTGAGCGCCCACAAGACCAGTTAATGCCCTCGCTCTGCCAAGCCCGAAGCAGTGCTCCTAGCAGCCCTGCGCCACGCAGGACCAAACAGGTAGGTTCAAAACGGGCAGTTTCCTAGAAATGGAGCTGCCCTTTATGATGAACCTAATGAAGTTCATCTGGATTTCCTCCTCCCACATGTCCAGTCCATCTTTCTGGACTGACACCCGCAGTCGAAAGCAAAAGAAACTCCCGTGCTAGAGGATGAATGAAAATAACTGTACATGTGAAACAGTTCAGAAAAATGCTCTGCCTAGCTTTCCTGCCATCAACTTGTTAGCACATAAAAAGCAACACGGACTTTCTCGGGAGTGTAAAAAGCAAATTCAGGATTTTTTGAGATGAGATTAGAAAGATGAGTCTGTGCTGTGGAGCCAGGGAGATACGAGCTGCCCTGCCATCTGGATAGCCCCATGTTTGTTCTTCGATCGCTCTCACCCACCCCTGCCCATCTTGCCCCCGCCAGGAAATGAAGGTGGCCCAGCAGGTGGCGCAGAAGTACTCCTCGGTGCCTGACATGTGGGCGAAATGCCTCCTGGGCCACTGCTACGGCCTGTGGTTCATCACCCTGCCCACCTACGTCCGGGCCGCGGCGTCCAAGGTGCGGGCCCTGCAGACGGCGTACGAAGTGCTCAAGCAGATGGAGACCAGGAAGGTTGTCCTCCCGGACGAGGTACTCGGGCTTGCATGACCACGTCCCCACCACCATGTGGGGGGGGGGGTCTCCCTGTCCATGCCCCTGGGGCAGGAGTGGCTTACCTGCCTGAAGTGGCGATAAGAGGAAAGCTTGGAGAAGCAGGGGGAATTGGGAGAGGCGGGTTGGGTTTACAGGACATGGCAACCCCCAGTCGAGGAGGAACACAGGCGATGAACTGTGGGTGGTGCGGAAACTTGGGTTATCCTGTTCTCCAACCCCATTCAGAGAGAGGCAGAAAGGAAAGAAAGCGAATTACTTATTAAGAGGGGCAAAAGGTTAAGCAGTACTTTGACTCAGGCTCCAGCAATGAACATGGCTGGCTACTCTCTCCCCATAAGCTCCCTGCCCTGTTTTGGACCAGTGGAAGTGTATGGATGCTTTCCAAAGGGAGCCTCCATGTACAATGCATAGCATTAATCGAAATGGGCAGAAGTATCTTCTGTCATCAGCAGAGGCTCTTCTCCGCTTGGGATGCGGTTACCTGAAAGACTATTGCTCCCTCTAGACACCGGTCAGGACCCTGAGATTCCTTTGAGAGGTTCTTCTCTAAGTGCCCCTCTGGTTCAGGTGTGGTTGCTGCCCTTTTCAGGGGTGGCATCCCAGTTGTGGGATGACCTCCCCAGAGAGGTTCACCTGTCACCTCCATGATAGTCCTTTTCGTTCCAGGTGAGGACCTTCTGTTCCCAGACATCTCAGGCTTTCTGTTTCAGTTGTCTGTAAAACTGATGCAGTCTTCTAAATCTTAGCACTGCTGCTGGTTTTCACTTGGGTTTTATATTGTTGTTTTAAACTTTGCGTGTTTCACATGATGCTTTTTCGTGCTGTATTTTATGGTTTTCATTGCTGTGAGATGCCCAGAGAGCTTTGGCTGTTTGGTGGCATAGAAGCGTCCTGCCCTTCCCAATCCAGCATTCTTACGGTTCCTTCCAACACTGTGCAAAATAATGCTTCCTGAAGCAGTTGAACTGTAGCCCTTTCTCTCGGCCTAGAGGTTTTTTGTACTTTACTCCTAGGCTTCTTCTTAATTAAAAGAAAAACCATCTTTGTTCTCCTGTCTCCAAGGTTTGCTACCGGATCCTGATGCAGCTGTGTGGACAGCACGGCGAGCCGGTCCTTTCGGTGCGGGTTCTACTGGAGATGAAGCGGGCTGGGATCGTGCCCAACGCCATCACCCATGGGTACTATAATAAGGTACCTTCCCCCTTTCTATTCTAATTCAATTCATTAACGGATTCAGAAGCGCTTGCAGGGTCCTTGCCATAGAACAAGAAATAGGCTTATTTAGTGATGCCTTCCCCTGCAACTCTGGAACACTCTTGCCAGCGAAGGTCACCTGACATCTGTTTTGCTTCATTTCACTTGCCAGACTAAGATTCTCCAAGGCTTTTAAAATAATTTAAAGTCTAGTTACATTTTTGAGTATTTTTGTACTGTGTGGTCCCTAATTTCTGCCATATGGTTTTGCATCGTGCACTTTTTGATGGCATTTTGACGGGTTTGACATGCTTGTTTGATTGTGATTTTCCTTGCAATGGTATTTTGTTCTCATTAAAACCTTTGAGAAATGCTTGATGAGGCATTTCACAGATAAAATATTTAAAAAAAATGCAGACAGGTTTGTATGGGCGAAGGTGGCCTCTTGGACATCCTGATTGCAAGGTGCTATCTTCTTTCGGTGCTCCTTCTCCTCAGACCTCTCTGAGCCCCTCTGCCTTCCCCGGACCCTCTACTCTTGAAGTGGCACATTGGAACAGCCAGTGTTTGGTCTCCCACCTGTTCCTCTGCTCACCTTGCAACCCGCCCGAACACTGGGCTTGCTGGCAGTTCTCATGTGCATGTTCCATTTGAATTTCAAAAGCAAAACCAGTGAACTAAGCTTGGCCTTTGCTGAATTGGGTGGGAAAGACGGTTGGGTAGTACTAATACGGATGCCTCTCCTCCTCTCAGTGTCCAGTTCTCCCCTTTGTTCTTCCCCTCCTTCGGCTTGGTGCATGTGCAGAGTTAGCTGTGGAAAGGTCCTGTGTGCTTCATCTAATTTCATGTGGTCTGCCCCCCCCCCGCTTCGTGCCCTAGGCCATTTTGGAGTGCAAGTGGCCATCGAGTAACCAGGGAGGCCGCCTTCGCTGGGCCAAGCTACGCAATGTGGTCCTGGGGGCAGCCCAGTTCCGGCAGCCTTTGCGACAACGCCAGCGCGAGGCGGAGCTGCAAAGCCTCAGCACCAAGTCAGGTATGTGGGAGGGAAGATGCCCAGACGGGGGCTGGTCCGAGCAGAGCCGACAGAGAGCGCCTGGCTATCGTCACCTCTTCCTTCCACGTGGCCTCGTCCAATGGCCACTGACTGGCAATCCTGGGAGAGAGAAAAGTTCCGGGCATGTGCAGGTGAGCGCATCACCTGCGCTAGGATTGCTGCGGTCCCCAGGCCAAAATCAGGCCACCAGCAGGTCTTCTGTGCCTGAAGACAGTAATGGGCTTCAGGCATCCAGCTGGAGATGGTGGCTGAAGACAGCTTTTTCTCCCGGGTTCTGTTGGCAGAAGGCAGAGGCACCAAGGGGCCGAGTGCCCGGCTGCAGTCGTCCCGGTCCAACCTGCAGCGGCAGACGACTTGGTCTGGGGGCAGCTTGAGTGAGACTCTGCCGTCCAAGTCTCTGGTGAAGAGCGGGAGCCTGTGCTTCCCCCAACGCCATTCTGAAGCTGGAGCGGCCAGCGGTGAGTCTGGGAGGGGGAGATCCGTGCAGGGCTGCTGCACGCTTGTGGCAAAGGCACAGTGGTAGGGAGACTCTTGGGCGCCGAGTTTCTGTCAGAGATTGTGAGGGAGCCCTTGACTTTACACAGTCCTTCACAATCCAAGGCCGTTCTCTCTCCCACGTTGCAGCGACCAAAGCCCTGGCTGGGTCCAACCCTGGAAGCAGCGACACGCTCCCGGCCTTACCCCACTGGCTGAAGGGCGTGCAGGACGGGCCCGGAAGCTCCGAGGACGGGAGCCTGTCGGATGTCAGCAGCTTCCTGACCGACGAGAGCGACCGGTTGACCCTGAACAGCATGGACGCCCAGTCGGGCTCGGGGCAGCCAGAGGGGGCCGGGCCGGGGCCGGGCCAGGTGTTAGAGAACCGAGGGCTGGGCGGCGGCACGCCACGCAAGAGCCTGACCGCCAAGCTCCAGCAGCTGCTGTCGCCCATCAAGCGGCCCTCGCTGAGACACGGCGCTGCCGCGGAGCACTCGCGCGCGGTGTCCGAGCAGCGCGAGCTCCCCACTCGCCGCAGCCCGCTGGAGAGCCACCTCCTGCTCCCTCGGGAGCGCCCGGGCTCCACTGCCTCTGAGGTAGGTAGGCAGGCAGGCAGGCAGGCAGGCTCAGAACCGGAAGCGGTCTGGTGTCTGTGGCAACGACGTGGCCTGAGCAGTAGCTTCTGTGGCCTGTATTTTTCTTGTATGCTTTTGCCCAGTTGCTAGGGCCGTCTCTGCGAGCTTTTCTTTGGGTGCTGCTGCCCGCAATGGACCCCCAGGCAGATTCCAGAGGAAGGGCCTTCATGGTAGTCTCCCCGTCTTTGTGGATCGGCTTCTCAAGAGCTTCCTTGTCCAGCAGGCGTTCTGTTTCTCATCTCCTATTCTGAGTACTAGCTTTGTTCTGCCGGCTCCGTTATACTGTGCTATCGTACCCCTCATAGCTTGTTTTGCTGGCTCTTTTGCGTTCCATTGGGTTTTATTATGACAAATGGCCCCTGAGCACATCTTCCAGTTGGGCAATCTGTACGTGTATGTTAAGGCTTCGCTGCCTTTCCACCACAGAGCTCCCTATCGCTGGGCAGTGAGTATGACCTCTCGGACATGTCTGCGTGCAGCTTCAACCTTCGTAAATCCAATGATCGGCTCTTGGAACCTCCCACCGTGGAGGTACGTCCCAGCTGTGACGCGTTCCCCCGCCTGGAGAGCATTCCTTGCACGTTTCCCTTCTGTGACAGGGTGAAAGGCGGGCACTCAGAGAGGCTCACACTCGGGTGCCGGCTGGGGTTGCTCAGCACCTGCTTTGGCTGCTCTCCCCATCCAGGTGCTGCTTTCCAGCTGCTCGCAGTGCCAGGGCTGCAATACGTTGGTGTACGACGAGGAGGTGATGGCGGGCTGGAGCTCGGACGACTCCAACCTCAACACCACCTGCCCCTTCTGTGCACGCCCCTTCGTGCCCTTCCTCAGCATCGAGATCCAGGACTTCCAGGTCGCTGCCAGGTTAGGATTCTGGCCACCTTCTTCTGCTCATCCTTTCCCCGCTCCTCCCTGGAGGCAGTTCCCGGTGGCCCTGCGGGGCCAGTATTTGGAAGAGTGCTTACCGCAGTATTTCCCCTTTTGGCACCTGACGGAGCAGTGAGACGAAGCGGTGAGCCTGGAAGTCGCCCGTTTGAGTCTCACCTCAGCCACAGATTCAGGCAGGGGCCCAAGGTAGATCTGTGGGCAACCCATCCTCTGCAGAGTGGCCATAATGACCCTGCCTGCCCTACCTTACAGGACTGTTGTAAAGATCCCTGCAACAGTGCAGGGCTGGTCGAGGTGCTTCGAAGTGGGGCACCAAAGGACCGAATGCTCCTCCGTATTTTTTTTAAAAATGTAAAGGAAAAAGGAATCCATAGTCCCTGCACATAGAAAGCTAGTGCAGCTTCTCCCTCGTATGGTAGTATTTTACATGTGGGAATTTTAAGATTAATACAAGCATTCAGCTGTGTGATTGCTTGACCTGAAGTGGGCTCTCCTTGGGGATAAGTTGACAGCCCCAGCTAGGAAGATGAGGCAGAAGGGGGTTTTTTTAAGCACAAGAGAAAGAAAAGTGCCGTGAAAATAATAGGATGGCATCTCTAGTGTCCTCTTTCCCTTCAGCTTTGGAGCTGGCTTGGGGCAGGACATCATTTTCGATCCCTGAGGCTTCAGCTTTGATCAGGGCTATAATCAGAGAGCCAGTGTGGCGTCGTGGTTAAGAGCCTGGGACTGGGACTGGGACTCAGGCGATCCGGGTTCGAGTCCCCGCTCAGCCATGGAGCCAACTGGGTAACTTTGGGCCAGTCACAGATTCAGCCCAACCTACCTCACAGGGTTGTTGTTCTGGGGATAAGATGGAGGAAGACAATGATGTAAGCTACCTTGAGCCCTTTGTAGGAAAAAGGCAGGATATAAATCGATAAATAAATAAATAAATAAATAAAATAATTTTGCCATGCAACAGTGTGAAGAATTTTTGAAACTCCAACAGACTATGTCAAATCCTATTGATTTTTTAAAGGCAAGATTCTAGTCCTCATATTCCTTCCAAAAATGGTGCAGATGCAAGGAATAGAATTTATCATTTGGGGGAACCTGTCTGTCCAGGAAGAATCAAATGAATACTTATTTTTCTCTCTTCCTTTCCCATCCACCTAGCATTGCAGACAGCTCGGACACCAGTTCTGTCTCCTTGGATTGGCCAAGGGACAGCGAGGCGCCAGTGCCAGGCGGCGAGGGTCCCGTACTCAGTGACCGCTACCACTGTCTGTTTCTCGATGAGACGGAGCCAGAAGTTGAGAGAGAATCCAGGGCTGGGTCATTATGCAATGGCTTCACAGACTCTCCGGTAACATCGTGTTTCCTTCCCCAGAAAAAGATCGTATTTTAAAATCTGTCGAGTTTCTGTGTGTGTGTGTGTGTGTGTGTGTGTGTGCGCGCGCGCGCGCGCGCGTGCGTATGCACACAGCTTGCACTCCAACGGAGCAAAGCTCAGGGAACCAAAAATCAGTTTGGATGCCAGAAAGCACTTCCTGACAGTCAGGGCCCCGACGGTATGGAATGGGCTTCCACGGGAGGTGGGTGAGGCCCCATCGAGGAGGGTGTTCAAGGACAGGCTGGACACGCACATGGTGGGCGTGTTGTGAGCAGAGCCGGCTGGAGCCAGGGGTCAGGCTAGATGGCCCGGGAGGCCCCTTCCGACTTGCTCTGTTTCTATGACATAAGTATAATTTTAAGCTTTAGGATTTCGGTCACTTGTGCAGTCTTTATGTACACTGTAGCCCATTTCCCCCTTTCTTTAGCATTGAGTTTATTATTGCTGAGGGGTGCAGAGTAAGCGTGTCCGCCCCAAGCTTTGACAGTGACGGTTCCTTTCCTTCCTACCTGCAGGTCCCTCGGGGGCCCACCTCACACACGGAGCACCTGGCTTTTGCCTACCTGAGCCCCTTGGTCCTGCGCAAGGAACTGGAGACCCTGCTGGAGAACGAGGGAGGAGAGTTTCTGTCTCAGCCTGAGCTGGTGGACAACCATCCCATCATATACTGGAACCTGGTGTGGTATTTCCAGCGCCTGGGCCTGCCCAGCAGCCTACCCCAGCTGCTCCTGGCGTCAAAGCATGTCCAGGCCCCACCCCAGGTAACCCAGCTCTTCTTCCCTGCTCGTTTTAGCTTTCCGACACCCCTGGGAGGTAGGTAGGTAGGGATGAGAGAGAGCCCTCTATCCCAAGGCCTCATGGGAAGAGCTTTGTGGCAGTCGCTGGGCCAAGCCTGAAACTGCACTGCCCAGAACCATCTGGCAAGGAGGTTTCCCTGGAATGGTTCCTGCGGAGGACCCCCTCTTCCGAAGACCTCGGTGAGGCCTCTCCTAGCTCCATCAGCCGTGCCTTTCTCATCTCCCTATCTCGCCCTCTGCAGGGCTCAACCCAGGAGGGGCCGCTCGTGAGTGTGCGTTTGCTCTGGGATGTTTTGGTGCCAGACCCTGATAGCTTTCCTCCTCTCTACATCCTCTGGAGGTTCCACAGTGAGTGACAAGCTGAAGATGCGCGTCATCTTGAATACCCCTCTGAATTTGTGGCTCTGCCCCCAGGCTTCCGGCTGACCAAGGGGTTGGAGCTTGGGGACCTTTGTCTGCCCCTCCAGGCTGACTCCAGTAGCCACGCCTTCTTCCTTTATTTATTTAAACAATTTCTATGCTGCCCCATTTGCAAAAAGCCTTGGGGCTGCTTACAACATAAACAAACAATTATATAATTAGCCTTAACGACCTGGAAACTTTGGTCCCATTGCCTTTTCCCACAGGCACATGTCCCCACTTTTCACCCCGATGTGGCACAGTTCCGGAAGATCTTCACCTTTTGCTTCCGCGGCATGTGCTTCCTTTACCCAACTTGATCGCGGGAATCCATAGTGGGTCTGTGCCAGGTTGGAGCCCTGCCTGCGCTCACACACTCCCAGGCGCTTGTCGGTCGATTCTGGGAGCCAGTTCTGCGTGCTTCTGTGGACTGTGCCTCCGGATGCACCACCGTGTCCCTTCCCTTCCCTTCCTTCCCCAGGCAGCATTCCGACTCGACTCCAGTCCTGGCGCCGGCACAACCACCCCTTCTCGCTCTCGTTCCTGGAGGCCCTGCTGACCTTCATGGGCTTCGGTGAGGTGCACAAGGCCATCAGCCTCTTTCTGGACACAGTGGCAGAGCAACCCAGCCCCACGCATCTGCAGAGGTACTGCTTCTCCCCACATCACTCAGGCACACACACTTTCCCCTGTGGAGACCTTGGCCTGGCCTGGGAAAAGGGGGTAGGTGTACCAACCCACCTGCCGCTGTGTCCCTTCTCCGCCCTTAGGAGCATCTACCGTGAGATCCTTTTCCTCAAGCTTGCGGCGCTGGGCAGAGACCATGTCGATATCGGTAAGAACGAGGGAGGGGTGCACTTGCTCTCCTTTGTGGGGGAGAGGGTAGGCAGGATGGCTGCCACTTGCCCGGAGGCCCTTTGGGACACAGAGGCTGTTTGAAGGAGGAGTCAGTGCTGAGGGATGGAACAGATTCCGGGATTTCTAGGAATTGGGATTGTCCAGAGGGGACGGAACACCAGCAGCAGCAGCAGCACCTGTGGCATGGCAGGGAGAGCGACTTTGCTGTCCTCACTCATAAAGTTTTGTCTGTCTCTGTGCCCCTGAGGTCTAGAAACTTGCCGGTGTGTGTTTTAACTCTTGGTAGTGGTTTTTGTGCCACTACACATTTTGGAACGATAAGCCATCAAAACACAAGCGAGTTCAAAAGGATGGAACACCGTCTTGAAAAACAGAACATCGGTAAAACCGAGCAGTTCTGTTTTGAAGCGGGGCAGAACCTCAGGGTATTCAGCACCAAACCTTGGGCAGTTTCCCATGCCATTTCCCTTGTGCAGAACTGCAGAATTTCCAGGGTTTCTGTCCACGAGCCCAGGCCTGCCCTGGGCTTCCTCACCTCCGTTTCTGCCCTCTGTCCTCAGCTGACTTTGACAAGAAATACAAGTCTGCCTATTTGAAGCTGGCCAGCAGTATGGGGAAGGAGTCCCTGAAACGCCGGAGGGCTCAGCCACTCACCTCCAAGGCTGTCGACTGTCGGAAGACCTTTGGGACCAACCTGGAATGCTAGCGGTGGAGCAGGGGGCTGCTCTCCTTCCTGTTCCTCCCCCCGCGGCACCTGCTGCTCCCTGCACTTCCTGCTGCATAGGAATGATCAAGGACAGCGGTGGAGCGTGGCACCGGATGTGGACGGGGGCAGTTTCTGGGGCCTCTGGGCGCCGGCCTGCCCCCCCCGGGTGGTGTCCAAGAAGAGGGAGCAGGGAGCCATGGGGCGAAAGGGCTGGTGCTGTCATTGGCTGGTGTGCGGGCCCTTCTGGTTTTGGATTGGCGTTCTCGTATTGTGCACCCACCCCCGAATCGGCGGTAAGGGAAAGGGGGCTGACCGGGCTGGCAGCTGCTGCCACGGGGGGGCGGGGGGGTCTCGGAGGCCACATGCCTTTTGGGGCGTGTGGCTCACAGGCGCCCAGTCTTGGCCCAGCACAGCACTCTGCATGTGCATGCGATGCCCCAGCACCGCTGCCGGCTGCCCCTCCACACCCCTCCTCGCCTGGGTGGCTCCCCACAGTCTGTCTGTCTGTCTCTTTGTGCACAGTGTTCGTTCCACCATGTGGATGTGGCCATCTGTCGATCGCAGGGCCCCAGCCTCCTCCTACCCCCCCCCCGTGCCAAGTGGGGCTTAATTCGGGAGAGGATGGCCCCCGAGCACAGCCTCTTCCGCCCCCCCCCCCCCCCCCCCCCCCCCCCCCGCGGGTTATTTTTTTTTCGTCAGTGTTAACGAAAGAAAGAAAATGCTATTTTATAATTTATTTATTACAGAGCTGTTTTTCGTCTGCTGCCCCCTCCTCTTCCTCCACTTCGTTGCTTGTGATTTACGTGTAAGAAGGGTTAGCCCCGGAGCAGTAACTTGGGGTAGAAGAGGGGCTCTCGCCCCCACTTTCTCTCCCATCTGCCCTCCTCGTACGCAAGGGGGCAGCCCCCAAACCCTGCTGTGGCTGTGTCTGTGCGAGGAGGCCAAGTGGGGAAGGGAAGGGGGACCCCTGAGGCATCGGCCAACGTTCCCAGCCCCCCGCTTTTCTCCCCAGGGCTCGGATTGTGCAATATGGAGTCTGTCTCCATCAAGCTCCTCTTTGTGGTATCTTTTGTTTTTTGTTGGTTCATTCGTTTTCAATGTTCCTGGTTCTGTAAATAAAGATGCTTCTGTATTTTCCTTCTGGGTACGGCACATGCTTTGCGTTGGTGAGGGGAATGGGTGTGTGAAGAAGCTTGGCAGGGTTTAAGCCGTGAAGATGATTCTTTGCTTTCCTGCCCATGGTATCAAAGAAGGAGGCGTGACTTCGTGGGAAGGAGCGGGGGGGGGGTGGAATTTGTCTGGGTCTGTTTTACGTCAAACCCACCCAATTCACACTTCGCAAACGGGAACGCGATCTCTGCCGGTTTTCGTGCTTTGACATCCAAGGGCCTTCTCGCCGCAGAGGGACCTGGTGGCAAATTTAAAAGGGTGGCTCGGGAATCCAGGGTAGGTATGTGTGTTCGTGAGCCCTGGCAGCTGCCCGAGGAGGACCAAGCATTGGGTCTGCCTATCACTGCCTGTTTACTCCGAGGCAAATCGCCATGCCCAGTGGGGCGTAATCCCGGTCAACTGTGTTTTCAGATCGTAGCTTAAGGGTGGACTTGGCGTGTATCTGTAAGTCGGAGGATGTTATGCTAGGAAAAAGCCTTGTTTTTGGCTGTGGGGGAGGCAAGGAGGCTGATCTGTGGCTGCATCAACAGCCTCCCCCAGAATGACCTTGCCAGACGTTTGCTCTAGTGTGTGCCAGAAATAGCTGTTGAGGAAATCGGCGCTTCCCTTCCTCTTTTTCCCCCCTTTTTCTTCTGTGCATGTGTGTGTGGCGGATTTTGGTTGCAGATGCTCTTTGGCCATTCCATTTGGCTGTTAAAACTCAATATGGAGAGAGCCCAGCCAATCAGAACGGAGTGCACTGTGCCGGGAAGCCTGTCAGTCATGCGCCGGCAGCCAATGTGGGGCAGAGAAGCAGAAGGAAGCCGGACTCCAAGTTGGCCTGTTTCCATTTTTCCTTTTGTAAGTTGGCAGCCATGTTGAGCCGTGCCAAAAAAAACAATTGGGTTTCGGGAAAGGCTCTGCAGTGTGTGTGTGTGTGTTTCCCACCCTCTTTCTTTCTGTGTCTCGCGCGCACACACCCTTTCTGTTTTAGAAACAGTTTGGTTTCTTGTTCTGGAAGGAATGCTTCTCAAGATGCAGCATAGCAAAGCAAGACATGTGTCTGGTGAAGAGAAGATCCTGGAGTTGGTGTCTTAGAGCGCCTCCCTCTGTCCCCTCGACCAGGGTGGGCAGACGGCGCATGCAACCAGTGGTCAAGAAAGCTTGGAGCCCAGATTCTGAACATTGGAAGATTTCTTTTCTGCTCTAGAGGATACCTATTTGACTAGTGACAGATAACCTGACAGGTGTGCAAGGAGACCTCCTGGTATAAAAGAATCAGAACTTGGTTTCCTTCCAAGACCTGGAGAACCGCTGCCGGCCCAAGCAAAGTCTGTTGTTACAATGCTGATTCTTGCGGAATTCCTTTCCTCTTCGGCTATAGAAAATTCCTAGCAGGTGGAGGGTTGGGCAGGGATTCTGCCTACACCCCACCAGCCCAGACATATTTATCCATGTGCTCTGTTTGTGAGGGAGCCTTCACGTGATCGCTCAGTTGCAATGCTTATGTGACACAGGTGGAAGTCTACACCTCCACCCTGCCAAGTGGGACAGGCTGCAAGATCCCCCTTTGTCTGCAACCACAACCTGCCTGCAGGGGAAGACATCATAAACAAAGGCGTGTGGCCTCTCTTGCAGCTTGATTGCGGGGAGATTCTAGACAAGTCAGAGGAAGGCTGCCTTCACACAACTCAGAGTAAGAACTACAGAATTCGCTTCCGCAAGATGTCATGATGGCTGCCCATGCAGGTATCTTCAAAATAAATATTTTAAACAACGTAAGCAAGCAGGGCACCACGGGAAAGGCTTAGTGTGGTGCACTCGGGAGTCCCGGGTTCTGTTCTCCACTTGGCCATGAGCTGCCCTAGGTGACTTTGGACCAGTCCGTGACATTTAGCCCAACCTACCTCACAGGGCTGTTGTGAGGAGGAAGAGGAGGATCATACACTATACACCTTGGACTCCTTGAAGGGAAAGGAGGGCTGGAAATACATTTGGAGGTACAGAGCCTCTGAACATGGAGCCCTCCTGCTTATCTAAGACTCCAGATGCCACTGATGGTCTGATGTTCTAACACCTAGTTCTTAAGCAGATGAAAACTAAATCCTTGGCCCGCTTTTGGGGCTACATTCCCATCGTTCAGGGTGAGGTAATTTGTGACCATCCAGGTGGTTTTAGACCCCAGCTCCCATCAACCCCAGGCAGTCGGAGATGCTGCCTGATGGATGATGGGATGTGTAGTCCAACCGTCTGTCAAGCACCAGTAGTTTCCCCTACCCTCACCTATCCACCAGCTTCTCTAAGCCTAGTGCTCTTCAGAAGCTTCAGATTTCAAGCCCCATTATACCTGTAGTCCAAAAGGGTATGAAGGGAAAAGGCTGGTAAGAGACATTTAAGTTTCATTGCTTAGTAGACAGTCATGCATAAAGTCGCAGTGTTAAAATCCTATATTAAATGCCATATAAACATGAAGTCATACTTTTAAGTAAATACAGGCAAATGATATTTCTGTCTCACTCAGACTCTCCCTGATGCCCTTTTCCATACATTTGCACACTCCGGTTAAAACTAATTTGAAGAATCAATTTACAGATTTCTATTCTGCTCCTCAAAACGTTTCCAGGGCATCTTGTGACAACATCAACATGAGAGGAACCCCTTTTAAAACAGCCCAAATATTAAAAGAGCAGAATGGCCATCAATGTGACTCAAACTCGTATACAAGGCAGCATAAAAGTGATCAACAGAGATGGAACAGGTCAGATTTTAAAGCCTGGTGTTTGGTTTGCTTTTAAAGACTGCCTTGTGCCAAAGGGGCATCCGAGGGGGAGCCTTTCCAGGGAGTTGGGGCGCTGCCACTACAATGATGCCATAGCCAGAGCCACCAATCAACCCTTGTCATCATCCAAAGCAACTGGGATCCAAAGGCGAATTGCCCCTATTGCTGGAGGCAGAAAGCTACCGAGAGCAGTAGCCACTGACAGACTTCTCCCCAAAATTTATCACAGTCTCTTCCAAAGCTGTCCAAGTTAAAACTGCTGCTACCTTTTGGGGAAGTGAATTCCCTGCTTTAACATTTACCCAGTCCCCTTTTAAAGCCTCCAGATTGGTGACCAATACTAGTTTATTTTTATTTTATGTAAAACTTTTCTATACCGTCCCATACTTAAAAGTCTCTGGAGGCTTTGCTGCCTCTTGAGGAAGCGAATTCCAGAGGTTAATTCTGCACGGGGCGAAGAAACCCGTCTTTATCTGTCTCAAACTCAGTGGTTCAACTTGCAGGGATGACTCACGGAGTTCTTGTTCTAAGAAAGAAGGAGGAACTCCCTCCTTGCCAGACACTGTTTTAGAAACATAGAAACAGTGCAAGTCAGAAGGGGCCTTCCGGGCCATCTAGCCTGACCCCTGGCTCCAGCCGGCTCCACTCACAAAATGCCCGCCATGCGCATGTCCAGCCTGTCCTTGAACACCCTCCCCGATGGGGCCTCACCCACCTCCTGTGGAAGCCCATTCCACACCCTCGGGGTCCTGACTGTCAGGAAGTCCTAACTTTTCTGCACTTCTGTCATGCCTCGTCTCTTTAGTCACATTTTTTTTCTGAGCTAGTGCTCTGTTTTGTATGCTCACAGGCGAGTTGCTTCAGCTCCTTGATTGTTCTGATTGTCCTTTTCTGGATCTGCTGTGGAATGCAATACTCTTTTCAGGTGCAATTGCAGCCAAGCAACACACGCCGCTCCGGCCAAGAGTTTCCTTGTAGAATCTGACAGGGAGAAAATAGCCCATTCTCACAGCATTCCTCGCGACTCGCTGCTTTTTCTTTCTCTGTGAATTTCTGTTCTTGCTGAGTCTCCTGACTGGAAAGGTGGTGTGAAGCAGGAAGAGGTGCAACATGAAGATTTGTTCGCATCACTGAGTGGGACATGGATGGCCCACTTGTAGCCTGTTGCAGGAATGGCGGAACTGCAGGCAGCCCCCGCTCCCCCTCCCTCGAAGACTCCGCTCATCCAAAGAAGCAGCTCTCCACCAAGGCAAGGTAATATCTTCTTGCACTGGGAATGACTGAACAAAACGGATCATAGCCCTTTCCAGAGATGCAGGAGAATCAACTCCCCCAAGTACAGAAGGAGGTAAGACCAGAACTATGTATCGAGTGTGTCGTCCGGAAGATAATGGTGATGTTGTTATTTGATGCAGGGTATCAAAACACGCAATCCAGGAATTGTTGAGTGCTGAACAATTTCTTTTAAGGCCAAGGCTGCTTGTTTGCTTCCTTTTTTTCTTCCTTGCTGCCCTACCTTCTCTGGTACCAAAAATTGAAACTGCCATCTCAGAATATATTTATGCCAATCACATGATCTTGCAAAAAAGTCAGAGTTCCCACCTCCTACCAGTGCTGCCCCTTGTGCAATCTACACAGCTTTTTTTCCCCTCGGGATGATTTCCAGGTGGTGAAAAAATTGCCAAGGTGTGAACTGAAATCCAGATGGTTGTGCTAATGAGTCTGTTTCCTGGCTGAGAAGCAACACCACTTGATTCCCTTCTGCCCAGCTTATGAATCTTGTTATATTCGTAATAGTGAGATAAAGCTACTTTATTTCAGGTCAGTTTGCCCATCTATCCCTGAATTATATAATTTGACTGGCAGAAGACTGTCAGGGTTGCTTTTTTCCCTGCTTCACTCCTTTCACCCAGAAACCCAGGAATTGTCTGGAGGCCTGCCTGCATACAAGGCCTATGCACTACCCCCAAGCCAAGATCTCTGCAAACTCTGTGCAGGAATCATTTTGTTTCTCTGTCTCTTGCAACCTTTGTCATTTGCTTGCCACATTTCAAAGATGGAAGTGAACTGCATTATTTTAAAATGCAATTCCTCACTGGGGCAGAACAGATTGGATCATTTAAAAGGAGAAAGCTATCGAACCTAACATAGCGCAATTATGGATATCTCCCTGCATGACTAGGAAAAGCTAGAGCGGAGGTTGGCAGGA